CAATGTGCTGATATTTTTACTAAAGCTTTATCATCCACTGCTTTCTGCTCTCAACGGTCCAATTTGTGCGTACTTCATCAGCCCGCTCAAATTGCGGGGGGATGACAGTATAATATTTGAGGGTATTTATGTAATTCTGTAGTATAGTGCTGTATATACATATAAATATGTAAACCTAATTCTGTATTGGAATGAGAAGCATTATTCACACTTTCAGTCTTACTATTATGATCCTATTTTGTAAAAAAATAAAAAAAAATTATGATACAATAAAATCTAAAAACTCCTTAAAAATTAAGTATATAACTTAAACTCTATTCTTTCTTTAATTTTTTATTTTTCACATTTGTAAATTTTCACAATTTCAAATTATTCAACATGCTTGTTAAAAATGCCTCATAAGAGAAGAAATTGACTCTAACATATAAGTTTTAATTTTCCTTGTTTTATTTTTATTGTAAGATTTCAACCATACTCTACTGTTAACTAATAAATAATACCTTTTTATTACCTAACAAAAGATTTTATTAAATATTATTATTTTATTTTACATTATTAAAAAATAATAATAATGAGGATGATCTATTTCCATTCCCTCTACTCACTCATTCGTTTTTTTTAATAAATTATAATTATTTATATATTAATAAAAAAAATTTATGAAACTCGAATTTACAATTCATAACAAACGAACGATAATAATCCAAAATCCAATAACATTGTAGGGAAGCGAACCGTTCATTCACTTACTAGTTTTTATTTTATAAGAGTAATGATTTACGAGACGACGTTGCATGTCGATTTTGGAGGACGATAAGTGAAGCAGTCCCAACAACAATTATCAACAAGTGAAGCAGCCTCAACAGCAATTACCAATTTAACCCTGCTTCACTTGTTGTATCTCAAAATCATCCCGCAACATCATCTCGCGAATCATTACTCATTTTATAAATATCCTTGTATCTGTTTCATCAACCCCTTTGATTGAGTATCTCAATCTCAATGAATATCTCTTCAACACTACCTACACAATGACGTCAAGAGGCATAAAAAAGTATTGATTCTCTCAGTCCTCCTCCCTACTTTGTCATTATTTTTTTTTTTTACAAGAGTAATAATTAGAAAGTTAGTGTGAGTTAATTGTTAGTAATTGATTCTTAAATTGGGTAAACATTTCACTCCCTCAAATGAGGCGCACGGTTATCAGATCGCTTTTTAGTGGAGTTCACAATGGTGGTGGAACTCAAAACTCCAATCACCTCACCCAAACACTTAAAACTTGGAATCGAACTATTAGACTATAAAGTCGGTTCCTACTTTGTCACTATATATATATTTTTTTAAAAGGACAATAATTAGATATGTTAGTGTGTTAGAGAATACTAAACCTAAAACACTAAAAACAAACCACAACCTACCTTCAAAAGCAGCAAGTGACCGTTACGTCACACATGTAAAATGCCCTACTTTGTCACTGAAATGCCCTACTTTGTCACTATTAGTCGAGAGACATTACAAATATCTGTACCCGGCCTAGAAATAGGTACCCGGCCTAGAAAGATGCAGGCAAGCAAAAGTACTTGATTGGCCCTTGGACTTTTTAAGTTTGAGCTTTGGTTACTTTAAATTATAAAGTTATAAGTTTAAGCCTCTTAACTCCACAGCTTTAAGAATTTGTAATTAAATTGAGAAGTCCTTGGTGTTGGTGGTCTGATGACTGCCCATGCATTAATAAAGGTGTTTTCATGCAGGCAAGAGACGTGAAATTTGAATCTTATCTTCGTATTTAAGGTGATTTGATGGTTATTTATGTATTAATAAAGATATTTTCAAATATATAAAAGATATAAAATTTGAATCTCATTTTTGTATTTAAAAAAATAAAAATTAAAGAAAGTTACGTGACTGATGTCCTTAGTCACCAACCACCAAATATTCCCGCATCACCACGCACTTCAACAAATTTGTCTACCTCATATACCACAAAAGTTAAAATTTTTAGGGTTTGTTTAATTTATATTTTTTAAAGTATATATTAAAAATATATTAAAAATATTTTTATTATAAATTTATATTAAAATAGTAAAGATAAATTTTTTAATTTATTAATTATTTAATTAATTTCACTCAATATTAAAATTAATATCAATTTTTATATTTTATATATCACAAAAATAT